ATGTACGTGAGTTCATCATTTGTGCTGTGGAGTATGTGAATAATGACAGTAAAAATAACTATACTTCTTACAGAATAATCAGAATAATGAAAATTGCATGTAAACTGGAGTGAAGAGGTTTGCTTGGGTCATGTAAACATCTTATTGTGATTAAGTCCTTACTCTGATTATTGGAAATAATCACATTATTGGTGCACATGTAAACGTAGTCACTGATGGTACCTGATGATAACTGTGACTGCATAAGTAATTGCTATGATCAGAAATGTAATTAAGATGGATAATATGCTAAGTGTTTAAATACACTCAGTAACCAACCTCTGATGGCCAGACAAGCAGCTGTACAAGTAAAATGTTTTGACAGAATCATGTGACCCTATAATATACTGATAATATGAGGTGTCCAATAAATAAAGTAAACAACCTCGTGAATTAATTTACTGTTTTTAATGATCACATTTTTAACATTGATAACAATAAGAAATGTTTCTTTCAGCTTTGCCACACATTTTAACAGTGAGCGCGTTTACATGCACGTTCTTAAGCCGATTATGCTTAATAAGCCGAAAACGCACTTGGTCATGTAAACGCGGTAACCCGCTTTCTTTTATCGGAGTAAGGTCATAAACGGCGTAAGCATAAACCAGTCTACACAGGTAGTTTTCTGTCTCTTACCCCAATTCTGCATGGCATGTAAACGCAATAACCCGCTTTCTGTCGGCTTATTGAAGTGCGCATGTGTGATACGTGACAGGAACACATCGTTTGTGCAGATTTAAGCGCATCTAGACCGAGAAAACGTCTTGCCGTTAAGAAGGAAATATATCACAAAAGCAGACTTTTTCTTGACTCAGAAAATGATAAAAATATGTTCTCATCTCGTGCAGCAGAGGTAGAAGTGGTTCAGTCACAATGCTGCGTTTATAACTGCATGAGAGGATAATATATGAGCTGTAAGTTTCCCGACATGTTGCATGTTGACATGTTGCAAGCTTAATTTAACATCACAACTGACAAATGTATGGAATACTCAGAGTCAGATACGCAAATGATTATATTTTGACGTCACTACAGGGAAATAACCTGATTTATTAATGAAGTCATATAAACGCAGCTTACTTGCGTTGTCAGGTTACTGATGTGCATGTAAACGGGGAAAACTGGTTATTTTAATAAGCTGATATTTGTGAGTTATCAGCTTACTGGTGTGCATGTAAACGTTTTTTAAATAGAAAACAGTTATTTTTAATAGTTATATTTCACAACATTACTGTTTTTATGTATTATTGATCAAATAAACGCAGCCTTGGTGAACATAGTGTAAGATACTTCTTTTAAAAACAATACAATCTTAATTATTAACTTTTGATTGGTAGTTTATGTTTTAGTAATATTTTGTCATACTTTAAAGTACACTTATTTTGATGTGTTGACTGGCATAATAAAGCATATGTAAAGTAGTTAAACTACTTGATTCTAATTTTAACTGAACTGTGTTATTTGAGTGTGTGTTACATTTAAAGTTAAAGCCCCCTGTGGTTAAAATCAAGTTTTTAGCGTTGTTTACATGTCTATCTGTTTTATTTTTTTCATTTGCTTAAAGACAAACCATGTGCAAATTCCTCAGTCAACACCACTGCAGAGTATATTTTCCTTTTTAAGGAGAATATACAGTGTACAAAAAATCAGTCTCAAAAACACAGTTTGAAATGGCCCCCATTTCGTTCAACACAAAGTTTTAACCAATCCTGTGAACATGTGGGGCAGGCCTTTTCATATATGATCAAAGGTTTCAATTTACAACATGTTTTTTGAAGGGTTGAGTAATACAGAGAATCACAAACATAGCTGTTCATTTCTTGATCACAATGGCCAATCAGAGGTGTTTATATTAGTCAGAATCCAGAGTTTTGTTCAGTGCTGATTTCTGCACACTCCTGAATCCTTGTGTTATAATAAACAAGGCGTAGACACGATGTAAATAGCAGATTAAGTGTGCAGTGTAGAGGCTAGAGCTTCATTGATTATAACGAAATGAGGTGCGATGAACTAAGATGAGAGGCAGCTTTTCAGTGATTATAAGGGGATCGCTCTTTGTATGCTTTCTAGGCTATAATCTATTCAGAATTTCAATACATTCACTAACAGATTAATTCTCGAAAGTTAAATGAATGACATAGCGATAACCATTAATCCAAGATTACCACTGTGATTACCATTGTGTAGCATCTACTATAGCACTTACTTTTGCTAACTGAGTGAAAGTGGTGCGGGTCCGAGGTGGTGCCATTGAGTGGAGGCGGGGACTAATTTGAATATTCACATATCCGTGTATACTCAATGAGGTAAGGGTGTAGAGATACATTTAAGCCATTTTAAGACATGAAGAAATTATGTTTAAACATGAAAAAAATAAAACATTTGATCAATGATCAGTTTTAAGGGATACAATTATTGACTACAGGTGGACTTTAATACATTTCTTAAATCTACTAAACTGCAACATAATCATTACAAATGTGTAAGATACCAATATACAGTACAAATACGCTCTAAAGTTCAGCTAACTGCATTTAATATAAATTGAAACTACAATACATTTTCATTTACAATACATTTCATTGCAATTAACATGCAATTAAGTGTCTGAAAACATTACTTTGGGTTTGCATTTAAGTATTTTCTTTTAAAGTATATTATTTCGGTTATAGCTACTCTTTTTAAATGTAATAACTACTCTTTTTAAATGTATGCTAAGTGTGCTTATTTTTCATAAGGGATGTCACACCAGTAGCTAGAAAAAGTCGTTTTATTCTACAAGTTGCCCCTGAAGGGGGAAGCCATGTTGAGTCATTTTTTTTCGTCCTCCATTCTTCTTGACACCTCTATAAGCATAATTTGCATTGATATCAATCTTCAATCATCCACCTGACAGCCATAATAAACAACCACACTATCTGAAGACTTGTAAACAGAGTTTTATCTCTAATTCAACAGAGCCTCTTAATCTTCAAGGTGAAAGCTTTCTTTAGAACATTCAATAGACTTAAAATATACAGCGCAAGAACATCGCTGGGAGAAAACATGTAAGCTCATTTATAAGGAAGAAGTCACGCTGCATTCTATCACTTAAATACATCAGTGGACTGAGAAGCCACTGTGTACTTGAGATAGTTCTATGTAAATATCTCTCTATAATCCTATATTTTCCAGTACATTGACTTTTATGCCTGCATTTCTCTTAAAATTTCCTTAAGCAAATATTTTTTTTAATACCACACATACATGTCCCTACTACCTGACAGATAACACTGAAACAGGTGTCCAGAGAAATCACATCTGTCTGTAATAGCCCTAGGCTCTGTAAACAGCAAAAAAGTGTCAAGAAATACTGTATTTTCCGGAATATTTCTTTTTAATAATCTGGAACGTGCTGTGACTTAAATAAGGCAATTAACATCAAGCACGGATCTATTGCTAATTGACATCAAAGCCCACTCATCATAACACTAAAATGCAGTCAATGAAAGAAAAAGTTACACAGCTCAGTTTAAATTGATTGTTGTACAGTATGAAGGAAAACTGAAATGATACGCCGAGGATTTTGAAAGGCCAGAATCACTGAGTGTGATGATGGTGATTTAGTGATTTATTTTGATACATTTATTTTGAGGCTGATGAGTGATTTATTTTGATGAATTTGTGGTAAAGCACTTGGCATTTATAATAAATATTGTTTATAATGAATACTAATATATGTTTATTTTATACTTCTGTCATTTGCTCTTGTTCTGAATAGTGATTAATGGAAGGATGTGTTGTGGAGTGAGAGGAACTAAAATGCATGTTTATAATGTTTATAGATGATGTTAATTTACTGGTATTTTACATTATTTCTGAATGTAACAATAAAATGACTTGTCTATGTTTTTTCCCATTAACACTCTACAGCAGGGGTCACCAGACACGGTCCTGGAGGGCCGGTGTCCTGCAGAGTTTAGCTCCAACCCTATTTAAACACACCTGAACCAGCTAATCAAGCTCATACTAGGTATACTTGAAACTTCCAGGCAGGTGTGTTGAGGCAAGTTGGAGCTAAACTCTGCAGGACACCGGCCCTCCAGGATCAAGTTTGGTGACCCATGCTCTACAGTATGTGACTTATACACAGCTGCAACTTTTTTTTTTCTAGAAAATATGGTACTTCCTGCCAGGGGCGGATTTAGTGAATTGGGGGCCCCAGGCAAAATATTGGAATGGGGCCCTATACATTTGCACACATTTTCCTAGATCAACCTTGAGGTTCCTTTTTTGTTGTGATGCTTGCTGCTGCACAATGGTGCCCCATAGTTGTGTCCAATGTTTCTACATTTTTCATGTACATGTTATAATGGCTTTCTTTCATGTTGTAGACAACGAAATAGCAACTGATTTACAGTTGAGATACAGGTTTTCACAAAAACAAAATAAATTATAAAATAATAAACCTCTCAATTGAGCATTTAAACCAGGGGTGAGCCAGAAGTATAAATTATTACATTAATTTAAAACGGGGTTATGTGAGTGGATTTTTACATTGATCTGAACAAAACCTACAGACTGGATTATTGAAAATGAACATTCATTCTCTGCCAGTAGGAGGCACTTTTGTGCCAAATGATCAGTGAGAGTAGAACGAATGTGTTACACGTTTTAAACTCAACAAAATGGTAAAATACATAGGGCCTATATCAAGAGCATGCTCACAGATGAGAACAAAACAGAGTTGGATGAACTGGATTAAAGCCCACTTCAGTCTGTAGAGTGGACAGTTCTTGGCCAGAATAAATTGTCACAAAAAGTAAAATGTCTGGTCTTGAGCGACTAGTGGGAAGTGAGCAAACAACTGAAATCACTTACATTTTTAACTGTCAATATCCAGTTAGCTACAGTAGCTAAAGATGCTAGAAACCTGAAGCATAACCTTGTCTCCTGATTTCCTTATGCATCACTATGGTTACCTGAGAATCGCATGGAGCCTCCTCTGGTGAAGAGGGGTGGAGCCTGGAAGGCATAGATGACATCACTCTCTGAGATACTCGTCATATCATCTTCATCAGAGAAAGAGCGCTGGAACCCATTTGAGTTCATCTCTGTCAAAATCACCTACGAGAGAAAGAGAAATTTTGATCCGAGAGTTAAACAACCTTGCACACCATGGAACGGATTATTCATATGAATGAGAAACTTGGGACCAAGTAAACGAAGAAGATTTTAGGTTCTTCTCCAGCTGTTTTCAAGAAGTTGTTGTCCCATCACAAATCAACAGATAAGGGGATTTCAGCTCAAACACTCAGCATGACAAACTATTAGGCTCAGTGGTAGGTCTATTTCTATTGTTTTCTGTTTCAATCACTCAATCCATTACAATATTTCACACCAATTTTTGTTCTCTACCACACACCCATATATGTGCACAAGTATACACAGACAAATGGGCTATATATATATATATATATTACAAATCATATACATTAAAAATTGTGGCTAATATCAAACAGAAAATAGAACATCAAGTTGCATGGCACTGTATACAGTATACTACTCAGTTCTGTTATACAGCACAATCTGTAGTATGTAATACAGTAAGTGAGGTTAGAATAAGAGTATACTATTCTGAACAAGCCAAGCACATACTCTACACACTCACCTCAATATCACCTCCCACCACAAGGGGGAGACACCATCTACATTAGTATAGCCGTTCTTATACCCTGTTAATACAAGGCTAATTTTTACAAATGGCCGTAATACCCAATCTGAGCTCTGTGAAACATGCCAAATAAAAATATGTTGCCTGAACTCAACATATAATATTCAGTATTGATATCTGTGTACACTAAAGGCTAAGTAGGCGGTGAGTATTCCCTTTTCCCTTAATCTCTGAGGAAGGCTGTGCCCTGCGCTGATGTTTTCTGCCCTCTCATATTGTTTGGGTAGCTCTGAAATAGCCACAGCATCCTGTAAGCCTCTCCGCAGTATTACTCAGAGCTGAAGAGATGAACACTGTATAAAAGTTTAATAACGCTCTTATACAATTATGAATAAAACAATTAGAGCAAAGAGCTGAATTAAAAATTTAACATTAATTTCAGAATTTCTTAGTAGTTGGTAAGCCCCTTTCATGGAGGCACTGAGAGCTGGAAAAGAGACAACCTTAAAAAGGGAGGTAACAGGGTCTTTACCTTGCAGTAATAACATCTGGCCATTTATTCCTTACCAGATGCATAATATCCTCTTCCATCCTCGGGTAATACAATTTACGTGCATAATTTGAATGCACTAAATTAGTTAGGCAGATAAGTTAAAACACTTGAATAAACTGTTAAATTACTCATTTTATAATGTATAAATGTGTATCACATGTATAAATGTGGTTCTCTATATTTTGACATGGATTGACTTATCAAAAGCATAAAATAAAGATTTTAGCAAACTAATCTCATTATTTTTAAAAACTCATATCTTCCGTGAGCATCTAACTGCATCCTTCAAAAAAAAAAAAAAAAAAATTTATGCCTTCACTTTTTCTATTCTCTTTTTATCCTTTATCACGTCCTGTCCTAGCTTTTACTATTTTGAATGATTACTGAATCCTTGTATAACAGGCACTTCTCGAGTTTATTGCCATTTTATGATATATCGCTTGCATTCCTCAACTGTAAGTCGCTTTGGATAAAAGTGTCTGCCAAATGAATAAATGTAAATATAAAAATAAACTTCCTCAGTTAAATTTTCTTTCTCTTCATCCTGTATACAGGTGCATCTCAATAAATTAGAATGTCGTGGAAAAGTTCATTTATTTCAGTAATTCAACTCAAATTGTGAAACTCGTGTATTAAATAAATTCAATGCACACAGACTGAAGTAGTTTAAGTCTTTGGTTCTTTTAATTGTGATGATTTTGGCTCACATTTAACAAAAACCCACCAATTCACAACAATTTGAGTTGAATTACTGAAATAAATGAACTTTTCCACGACATTCTAATTTATTGAGATGCACCTGTATGTAAAAACCACTAAATTGTCATAGTGTATGAAATGTGCTATAAATGAAACTGCCTTGTCAGGCATGGAATGTGAATGTGCGCATTGCATTATGGAAAAAATTGCATTGGTTAATGTACATAAGTTCCTCTTCAGGAACTCGAGCTACGTCGGAGGACGCTTCGGGAACGCCCTTCAGTGTGACCGGCTCTGAACCTCTTGTGTAATCAGTCCAATAGATGGGCGAGACGTCACGGGCAGGTGACGTAATGATCAGGAAGCTATAAAAGCACGTGCGGTGAGACCAGCGTCAGCTTTTTGTCATTCAGCAAGCGCTCTGTGTGTGTGTCAGTCTGATATCTGTTTGTGAGGCGCGACGCTCCGCCTGTCTTTCTCTGAGGAGATTGATACGGAAGGCATCAGAGAGCTCGCCAGTTGCACAAACACCAGTTAAAAAAGAAAAAAAAAAGCCAGCTGTTAAGCGCTCCGCTCTCGCCGGGCACGCTCCGAGGAGTGTGTCCGTGCCTGTGATCTTGCGATTGCAGTCCCGCTGCTGCTGAGGCACGGCGGCGACTGAGTTCGTGGGAATCGCATATGATCTGGTGGACGGGTTGGAGACGGCTCGTCCTATCTCCACCCGTGTTCCCTAGATCTAGAGTTCGTTCTCGAGGCTGGAAGCCCGTGCTGCAGTTCCTCCCCCCCTGAGTGAGAGCTTGCTGATGCGGCCATCTTTTTCTAAGGAGATTGATGTTGTTGGTGTGACTGAGTGGCTCGCGCGCTAACGTGCTGCCGAGGCAATGCTTATATTACATTATTCGGTTTCAATGTGAATCTTATTCACCAGACCGTATTTACCCCTCTGGTTGTTGACGGTTGCGTCCCATTTTAGATCTGCGTCAGTTGAACCGGGGCAAAGTGTACCAGTATCGTGTTCTTCCTTTCGGCCTTGCACTCTCACCCCGCAGTGCGAGAATCAATAAAGTCTGAAGTTTCTGAAGACGCCATTTTGAAGTTGAACAGAAAAAAAATTTTGCTTTTTCTTTTTTTTTTAACTATCACTTTAATCTACTGTATTGGAAAAATCATGGTAAAATCGTCATTACTAAAAGCCATGATATGTGGAATGCTGAACCCAACAAAAGCCAAACAGTGTGCACTGGGTTTCAAAAATGTGTATCTTGCAGCACAATAACACCTTAAACCCTGGCTGAGCAAGTCTGGGAAGTTTCCATTAACCAACAGATGGCGCGTGTTTGGAGTATGAATAGAGATACAGGCTATTACTGTCTGTGAACCTTGAAGACGCATGCAAGAAGATTTCTTCTTTGGCAAGACTATGTAAGGTGTGTGCGTGTGCAGTACAATACAATATTTTATAATAAACTATTGGTGTGAGTGTGTATTGCACACAGTTTTGTTCAGGAACAGGAAAAGATGAGAAAGAGACACAAAACAGTATGACAGAAAGCAGGTCTCACCTGGTCTGGAGAGATCTTGCCCTCCTCTGCTACCACGGCCCTGAGTGTTGAGACAGACCCAAACAGAGGCACAGCCAACCCTACTCTCAGAAACCGCTGACCTTCAGTGTTGAACACCAGAATCACATTCAGGGCCCTAAACATACAAAAACATTCATATTTATCACATCATAGAATGCAGCTGTTCAGTCATGACATCAATTTGTGGGCCAATTCAGCTAATTCACTATGGCTTCCTACATGTTTTTACCACAGCAGGTTTTTGATTTATGAGTAAAAATGGGAAATACTCTTTAAAGTAATGGTAACCACTCATAAATGTTTACTCATAAATTGAAAACCACCATTCTAAAAACCCATTAGAAATTCCAGAGGGAACCCACGACTTAGCACTTGTGCATAGGTAATGATCAAATCTATGGGGGATTGAGAGCTGCAGGGATGACGCATTTTTGTAGGCCAAAACCCGGAACAAGTTAGCATTTTAGCACTTCAGGTTCCATAATTCTGTAGTCAATGTGTTTTTTAAATGCGTTTTTGGTTAAATGCTTGAAATAAGGTCTGTAGTTAACACAAGCTCAAGATATTGTCACAATTATTCTACAACATAAAATAGTTCACTCAAAAATGAAAATGTTGTCAATATTTACCCACTGTAAAGTCATTCCAAAACAGCATGGCTAACTTTCTTCTGTGGAACATAGAAGAAAAGTTTTTTATTTATTTATTTTTTTTCCCCAGATCAATGGAAGTCAATGGGCTCCAATGTTGTTTGGTTCTCAATGTTCTTAAAAATATCTTCTTTTGTGTTCCACTGAAGTAAGAAAGCAATACAGGTTTAGAATGACATAAGAGTGATAAAATGATGCCAGAATTAGACCATCTATTTAAACATGGTTAAAGCCACTGTAACACATACTGTCATATTGCTTTGCTTATTTACCAATACTGTATAGGAAAGAATGTGTGAGAGAGTGAGTAACAAATCAAAATCAGTTGATTTAAATCAGCATGTCTGGACTGTAACACTGTCACACACACACACATGCAGCTTGTGGGTACACATTAGCAGGCCCGGCTCCAGAATCAAATCACTGAGGGTGCTTCTTAAATTAGTGAGGGTGCTGTAACTATATACTGTATATATATATATATATATATA